TGGCGTATTGTTTTTGTACTACTAGTGCTTAGTGTATTTTTAGTTTACGTTTATCTTAGTTCATATCTTAGATGTTATTACTGTTTTTGGTATGGTATGGTATATAGTTTATTCATTTTAAAAAAGTACAAAACAATTCCATAAAAATATAAAAAAAAAGATACAAAAGATTTAAAATGAAAGGCAGCAGAAAGAAGAAAAAATCTTATTATATCTGCCCCTTTTTTTCAAACAATTATTTCAGACATAATAATCTTCAAGTAACAGAACAAAATGAATAGCTTTCTAATTTTTCTAATTCTAATACAAAACACACACTAAGCTACTTCATATTTACTTTTTTAACAATTCAGCTTTGATCTTTTTCTTAAATGTACACATTGACTTGGCATTTTTCACATCACTCTCTAGACCATTCCACAATCCAACTCCTTGGATTGAGGTAGATCTTCCCTTCAGACTAGTTCTGAATTTTGGTTTGACAAATATCTCTATCCCCTTAAGATTGTAACAACTTTGTCTTTTAACAAAATTTCTTTGAATATTTAATGGTAATGTGTTATTTTGAGCCCTATACATAACTGATAAAATACTATAATCTACCAAATCATGGAACTTTAATAACTTCAGTTGATAAAATAATGTGCTTGATGGGTGACTGTAATGCTTTCTGGTGATAGTTCTTACAGCTCTTTTCTGTAAAATAAAAATAGGTTTTGTAAATGTTTTACACGCTTTCCCCCAAACATCAATGCAATAGATTAAACGTGGAACAATGATTGTGTTATACAACATGTACAGAGCTTTATCATTTAATAATTCCCTGACTTTGTATAGTACTGCAATAGATTTAGATATTTTTGTTCTTACAAAATTTATGTGATTTTTCCATGTTAGCTGTTCATCAATGATTACACCCAAAAATTTCATCTCATTAACTCTACAAATCTCAACACCCTCAATTTTAAATGGATCATCAACAGTTCTCTTTTTGTTACTAAATATCATGTATTTAGTTTTATCTAAATTTAATGATAATTTATTAAGTTTAAACCAAGTTTGTATTTTATCAAATTCTGTCTTCATCAATTCCAGCATCCGTTTTACATCTTTACCCAAACAAAAAAAAAGTGGTGTCATCTGCAAAAAGGACACATTTGAGGAGTCCTGATACATTCACTAAGTCATTCACATATAAAATAAATAACTTTGGTCCAAGTACAGAGCCTTGAGGAACTCCACAAGTGATATTGCACAGGTCAGATCTTACACCATTTATTTGTACAAACTGTTTCCTATCTTTTAAATAGCTAGATACCCAGTGTAATGCTGGTCCTCTTATACCATATTTATTTAATTTTTCAAGGAGAATAGTGTGGTCAATAGTATCAAATGCGTTTTTAAAATCAACAAAAATACTAACACAATACTGTTTTTGATCGACAGCAGTAGTTATTTGTTCTATTATTTCCATGAGAGCCATTGATGAAGAGTTTTTTGCTCTAAACCCATACATTTTATTGTTTGATGTAACTAGGACCCTGTGTACACAATTTCGTTCCACCACTTTTACCACATGTGGTGCGAATGACAAATAAAGAACCTTGAAACCTACAAAGTAAGTAAATTATACAAATTTTAACTTTTTTTCTTCAACTTGGGATACTCAATTTCTCCAGAGTAAAAAAAAAAAAAAAAATCACATATAAATAAATATTATATATATATATGTATACTGTACAATCTTCTGTGATGCCCCTGACCCAAAAAGAAAGAAGCAGGTAAAGATAATGGATGGATGGATGTAATCCATTTTTTCCTTTTGTCTCAAAATATATAAATATCAGTAAATGTTAACAGTCATTTGAGGTTTTTAGTTTTATAATTTCACGCCTACTGGCCAGAAAAGCCCCCTCTAATAAATTTTAAAGAGGCCAATGGGCCACCAGTTGATTATGAAAATTGTATCAGGCTTTGCAGCTCTGGACACATTTAAATTATTGAACGAAAGGACAGAAATGGCGCTTTTGATCATAAAGGTTGCAGACCCCTGCTCTAGTCTCTTTTGCCTTTTCTGCTTGTATAATGCGATGTTCACGAACAATCTGAATCTTTTGAACGACTCTTTAAAAGGAACGGCAGGAACTGAGACGCAGGGAGACAATCTTTTTTCATTCCTCCTCATGTTTGCTGCACCGAGACGAAGAAGAACAAGCGAAAGGGAGAAGCGCAGCAGATGTGACTGGTAAACATATGCTCAGGAGGGAAGTGAGAGTTTGAGCACCTGACAAGTCATGTGCAACATTTGTATGTTGTACATTATTAAATAAAGCCTCACGTGTCTCCGTAAGGCCATAAAGTGACGTTGGTTGTATTACGTCACTGGATGTACCACGTGACGAATCAATCAAACTTGAATGGCTCTTAAAAGGAATGAATCCACAAGATAAGGATCCCCTCAGTGAGCTTTAAATCTCCATCCTTGAATCGTGTTCTTTTCTTCTGCCACCGACTCTACATGAACGTGTAACTCCATATCCTTTGCCTATTAAATTCCCTTTTTAAGTTTTGTGTACAATGTGTAAAGTGTGAGTCCCGTTTTCTCATTGATCCATCCAGCTCCCCAAATTCTTTTGAGTTCATTCTCCCTGCTCCTGCCTCCTGTTTAACTCAGTCTCTCCTTCAGCTGTGTGCTACCTTTTGTGCCATATTTCATCTTTGATTATCGATTTACCCTTTCTTTGCCCCAATAAAGTTATTAAAAACTATTTGTCAGCCATGTCATTACCTCTTGCGTGCTGGCACCCAACAAAACATCTGTATCACCCCTGTGCACCCTGAGCTGTGGTGCATTTCTAATCACTCGTCCTTTCTGTTGTCTGTATCAGTAGCTGATTTTGAACGTCTTCTTACCACCACCATGTCCGGTCTTATCTCCTCCGCCAACAATTGGCTCACGATTAACTATCTCTGCAGTGAAAACAGTTGATCAGACAAGTGTTTGGAAATGCAAATACGTACATACTCTGGTATTCAAATCCTTTTCACACCTGCTTCATTTAGTTTCCAGTCTTTTTCATTTCAAAGACCCTCATGCCCTCCTTTAGTCGTGGAGGAACAGCACTGATTATTCTAAGTGAACTTTTTGTCATACCTCATGCATTTTAGCCAATAATTCCTTGCCCAGTTAAATCTATTCCTCTGAAACTTGGAGCATTCCCAATAGCTTTATAATATCCTCGTAGTGGGATTTTCTTGCTCCCCCCCTAGAGTTGCGTCTTTCTGCCCTGATTCAGGTGTAGCTGGCTGTTCGGCTCTTATGATCGCTGATTTGGTTCACTGCGACTGTTCAATTTGCTGAAAGGTCCAGTTTCCTCAGCATTCTCACAAAAAAAGTCTGAAGAGCCAAATCACACAACCACCCTATTCTAATAGAAAACAGACTGAATTTATTTTAGACACCAGATCCACACCAGCCACAGTCCCTGTAACTTCCTGGATCCACACTTTCCCTGTTCTTTACTGAAGTGTAGTTTTCATGAGCTCCTGATTTAATTTGAAAATTAAAAACGAGTCCAGAATTGATTCGTTGATGCGTCTTTTTCAATCAGTTGACCCTTTGCTGCCGTCCAGCGTCACAAAAACAGCAAATAAATAAGAAAAATACACACTTGTTGCACATTTTGTCAAATTTTTGATAGAAATAGAAACAACATGGATCCATCTGTAAAAATATTTATTTTGTTATAGTGATAGGTAAATTGGTGTGGCGTCTACAAAAAGCATGCAGGACAAAATGGGGAAATTGTTGCGTATGAACAATTAATGTAAAAATACGTGATTTAATCACTCCATTAGCATGAAGCTACATTAACTAGTCTGCATCTAGGCTGTACGTTAATATACATTAAAAATAAAGATAATTTTGAATCAGACTCTGCTTAAATCATCTGTCTTTATGATGCAAATTATGACAAACTATTATCTAAATGTTAACATTCAGGGATATTCCATTAGTTAAAGGCCTGAGCACAAAGAAACAGCTAGCTTGCTACATAAAAAAAAAAAAAAAAATATATATATATATATATCATCCAATACAAAGCAAATTCTCTTTCTTTTCATTGCAGTTAATGAATTGATTGCACTGTGCTTCACTTCCATTGGATGTCAGAACATATCTAGAAATGACTCATTTGTGATTCAGCTGCAAATGGGAGAAACTAGACGTGATAATCATTGTTTCCAGTAACCAGGTTAACTATTTTAGGTCGATAATAATAAATGTAATCGCTTTCTGCGGATTCAAGCACTGTAACATGTTCACCAGTAGTAGTTTGAATGTTGTGTATGTGTGTGTCTAGATTAATGAGATGCAAACTAATAGAAGAGAAAATAAAAAGTTGATTACTGTTGCTAATTCATACTCATGGCAGATATATTGGATTTTGACATATGTCAGATTTTTCCATCATAGAACTCAGAAATTCCAACTTCTGAGAACAAGTTGAGCGTCTCATTTGAACCAAACAGGAAAAGGTGTTTACTTGTTTGTTTATGGTGACTGCAGACTGCTGGATAACTACTTCAAAGTTAGACTTTACCTGCAGAATATCCTTGAAACAAGTGAAACGCTCGGTGAGTGAGTGGGTTACATGCACGCCCCTTGACCTTTGGTTAGACATGACAGAGCCGTGTGCCTGACAAACCTGTCTTTTGTTCGACTATCTGTCCCTTCATCTGTCCTCCCCTCCCTCTTCTCTGAACTGCTGTCCTGTCTCTTTTTAACCAGCAGCTTCAGCTGCTTCGTCAAGGATTGTGCGCTGGGTTAATGTTTGATACACAAACGCAGATATAGAGACTAAATTGCGCTGATTTGAGCCTCCTTAGCCGAGCAGCTTTTTGACGAGCACTTCTTTACTTTTAGATTAATCATAGATCTTTTTTCTCTCTTCCCATCAGCACGTGGCCTCTTCCTCATTTCAGACAAGTGTCTACATTTTGATCAGCTGTTTGGGTTTAATCAGGCTTTAGCTGACTCTTTTAACTTCAAGCTTTTTTAAATTTAAGTTATTCTGAGAGCACCATGGGAAGCTGGTTGAAATGGTTGTGGTACCACAGAAACTACATCATCATCGTCGTCACTCCACTCCTCTTTCTACCCCTGCCACTAGCCATTCCGACACCGGTGAGTGTGTTTGTGTGTGCGACGGCTAAAAAGGGTCTTCTGTAAATACCTGTTTCCTGTCTGAGCTCGCAGCTTTCTCCTTCTTCCTTGTTATGCAGTTCAACGTCAGGAGTCCATTGACGTTAAAAAGCTGGTTAAAACTGCAGGAGAGACTAATTCAACACAGTTATTTATCTTTAAAATTAGATAACATTTAATTGTTCAGATCATCTGTTAATTTGTCTTTAAAATAACAAAAATAGTCTAAATTTTATTAATTCAAAGTAGTCATAGATGGTGGATCTGAAGATTTATTGCCAAAGTCAGAAAAATTGAGACATTTGTTTTTGACGTTAGCTTTTGAATCTTAAAAATTAAAATGAGATTTTAAAGATTCCATTGAATGAAAAATATAAATTTTAAACATTTTGCCAGATTATAAAATGTAAAGCAGACATTTTTCTGAATTAAAAAAAACCCTAAAGTGATACATTTTTACCTGGATGATGTGTGATGTGGAAACTATTGTACAGATTTTGTTTTTGCTTTGTGTGGAGAAAAAAGCTTTTGAAAATTTTAACGAATCAAAGAAATATTTACAAAAAAAAAAGTAAAAATAAAAGGTCTGGATACTTTTGACACGCACACAAAATACACAAAAAGAAAAACAGTGATTTTTTTAGAATCACGCTTTTAAATGAACTCAAGATTTGACACAAAATGACTTCACGTGATCTGAAAAAGGTTAATAATTATTTAAACAAAACAAAAATCCATAAAGCGAACAATCAATTTGAATGACCACAAATAATTTAAAATATTGCATCTTATAAATTATGAAAATATATATATAAAAAAAAAAGCTTTCAGTGTTTCCAACTTGCGCCATTTTTAAATGATCTCATGTTTAAATTTAAAATATGAGGAAGAGTCACGATAAGCTCTGAGAATGCTGGGTGATGTTTGACAAAGTTTGAGGTCATGTCAACTCCTTTTCATGGACTAATGCTAAAGTTTTCTCTAGCTTATCTAATCTAGATAACATAAATCAAAGCACAAACCTCTCAAACTAATATCTGCAGGTAACAAATGTATTTATAAGCACAGTTCACCTAAATGGTACTAAAACAGCAAAAATTACCTGTTTTTTTTTTCCTTACGAGTTTGTTGATTATCTCTAATAAATCATTTAAGGTGACGTTAGAGTACTGCACACAGATTTTATTACTCTTTTATGGCTATTGACTGTCCATTGCAATTATCTTTTTAAAACGCATCAGATTTCATCCTATGGAAAAACATAATTCAGGTTTTAAACATTACAGTGTTATAGCACCACAGTTTTCCTTTATTCTCTTCAAATGAACTTTTGCTTTCTTAAATGGCAGCTACAGTGAAAAAGAAACTGAAAGAACTCCAGGAAGTCTTTAATCAAATCGCTTTAAATGATCACAAGAAAGTTTGGAAGCAAAATCAATTTAAAAATTAGCAACGGTTTTGCACATTGCGCCAACTTTCTTTACACGGCCGAATGTTGGATTACAAAATAAAAGCACCAAAATCAGATCCTGCGGAGCTCAGTGTGAGTTTACCAGCGGAAAATTTTGTGTCGGACAGTTTAAACGCTTGTGTTTTTGATTTTTTTCCCAAGAGACTGTAAATGCTATCTGAGATGAGCATAACAAACTGTTTGGTCTGTGATCAAGGGTTGCTACTATCTGCAGCTGTAAAGTCTTATGGCCTTTTAAACAGAGGCAGAGATAAAACAAAAAGTTTGAACTTCACAACAACTGTCTGTCTTTAGATGCTTAAAATCCTCCAATATGGAGTTTTAAATATTCACGCTGTTGTTGTTTGTCGCTTCAGGATAAAATCCGTCTCAGCAAAATATGAAAACTATGACAGGTTGTGTGTGGAATCTTATCTTACAAGTTATTTTGACTATTTAACAGGTTTATGTTTGGACCAAAATAATAATTTTTGCTTTAACACAGACACAGTTGGGCTGCATGAAATCCATCCATCCATCCATCCATCCATTATCTTTACCCGCTTATTCCATTTTGGGTCACGGGGGTCGCTGGTGCCCATGTCCAGCAATCACTGTGCGAGGGGCGGGGTACACCCTGGCCGGGTCGCAAGTCCATCACAGAAACACATAGAGACAAATGAGACAAACAACCATTCACTCTCTCACTCACATCTATGGACAATTTAGAGTTACCAATCAGCCTAACATGCATGTTTTTGGTCTGTGGGAGGAAACCGGAGTACCCGGAGAAAACCCATGCATGCACGGAGAGAACATGCAAACTCCACCCAGAAAGGCCCCTGGACCGGGGTTTGAACCAAGGACCTGCTCGCTGAGAGGCAGCAGCTCTACCAGTTGCGCCACCGTGCTGCCCTCTGCATGAAATCAAGTAATGAAAAATGTAAAGTTACAACAAAAGTGTCAAAAAAATTATTAAAATAAAAGTAGCATTTCTGTCACGATTTGTGTTTTTTTTCAGGGTTTAGTTTTTCCGTTTCACATTTATTTATTATGATATTTAGTATGATTCTTCATGGTCAGTTTGTGTGATTGCCTCCCTGTGCCATCAGTTCGTTCAGCTCATGCCCACGCTCATCTGCCCCCGGTGTCTCTGCCCCGCTCATCTGCCCCTGGACATAAAGTCTCTCAGCTTTCTGCCTCACAGCCGTCTGTCATTGTGTGTTTGCTCCAGTCAGTCTGGTTCTCCTCTGTGTCTCGTTGTGTTTGTTTACTTCCTGTTGCTACGTCAACTTTTTGATTTTATTAATAAATGTTACTGTTCTCTCTGTATAACTTAATTATTAGAACACAATGGAACCTTCGACTTACTTTATTGAACATTTGCCGAAGAACACAGACAGATCAATGCGCACATACACCACACTTGGTGTACTTCCATCTAGCACACAAAATAGTACCACTAAACTACTTATTGCTATTACTAAATACATAACAGTTACGTTTTTACTCGAGCTCCCCGAGACCCAACCTCTACAAACTAATGATTCCCTAAAGTGATGTATATTTCCTGCCACCTTGCAGGCCAAAGTTTTTTTTCTGGATCAGTCATTCAGAGTATGTGTTGAGAATAACTCTCAGCTACTATACCAAATATTAGCTCTGCATCTCTAAAACTGAATCATAGCCTTTTTTGGGGTCTAATTCATGGATTTGCTGCCATTGGGTTGTTGAGAATGTTTAGTGAGTGTCGCTCAAATGTGTCCAGGTGTTTATGAGATATTTTGCTAACAGGCAAACAAATAAACACAGGTCCCACGGTCCCAAAAAGAAAAGGCTGCTGTAACTTAGTCACATCTTTCCCAAAAAAGTGTAAAATTTACAAAGTGATGTTACTGAGCAACACAACTTTATGTTACTTATATTAACAGAAGCATTTTTCACAGACCTTCATCTATGCACATCTATGTTTGAATCATATATTTTATATATATATATAGAATCATATATTCAGTGCATGGCCTTAATTCAAAAAGTGATCAAATAAAATGCAAGATTACTTGCAATATATTTTTGTGTGACTTTAACACAGAGAATAAAATCTTCTGTGTTGCCATACTGAAGTGTATATATATATATGTGTGTGTGTATTGAAGTCTAACCTTTTCCTGCTTGTGTGCAAAGTTTCTTTAGCTGATCTAAATCATCTTGTTGAGGAGCTCCAACACAATTCTTTTCCTCAGTCAGCTCTGCTCCCTGCGTTACAAAGCTGTGAAAAGTTCTTTATATTTTAAATTCTCTTCTAATAAAATCTTTTAATCAGCCTGACTCAGTTTGCAGATAATGATGATGCCATATTAGTTGGTCAAATAAATAAATAAATAAAACATTCATACAAATCTTCTCAGTCATACTGACTGCTAAGCTATAAACAAAAAAATAGACTAGATGCAACTTTAGGCAACCATCAAAGCTACCATAAGTAAAAGACAAAAAGAGGTCAGGAACTTTCTTTGGATGTTGTTTTATGGACGCTCTTTTTCTATTCAAAATCCAACAGAGCATCTGATTTCTAACACGATATTTGTTTAAGTAAATGAGTGATCTAATTAGATAATGTGTTAAATTGGTATCCCCCACTGTTGGATAGCCTAATTTAAGCTCTGATCCTATTTCCACTTGTGTTTGTGTGTTTTCAGGAGGCGAAATGCGGCTATGCGATCATCCTTATGGCTCTTTATTGGTGCACAGAGTGCATGCCTCTGGCTGTGACCGCCCTGCTTCCCATCGTCCTTTTCCCCATGATGGGCATCATGAAAGCTGGAGATGTACGGTCTCTGTTTACACTTTTATGCATCAATATGTCACAGCTTATACTTTACCTACATGTATGTTCTCGATACTCAGCTGTTGCTTTTAACTAAAAGCTTCACAGACAATTTTAATACATTCTATTTGTTTTGTTTCAGTTCTTAGTATATTACGCAAGGACAAAGTATTTGACAGTAGCCTACTTGCACAGGATTTAGTGCCATGCTGAGATACCTGTGTGTCTGAAAAGAACAAGTAATCACAAGGGGTCATAATAAATTGATAATTCGATAATTCAGTTAGATTAAGATGTAGTGTAGAGCATATCTGATCTCAAGACCAGGAGGCGTGTAATTGACTGTGCCAAGTGAGATAAATTTTAAATCAGACATGAACTCTGGCGTCGTCTGGACTCATGAAGCGCAAACTTCTGAAAGAAATAATCTGACTTGGAGTCAGTTATTTTTAAATGTACTTTTATAGTCATAAAAACCTGCTGATCCCACCAGAGTCCCACTTTTATTATTCATAAAACGATTACAAAGACATGGCGTCAGCATTTTCACAGGTTACTAAAGGATAGTTACAGTAACTACCATAATTTTGGCTGATTTGACTAAATGGTTTCAGGTCAGCATTGAGTACCTGAAAGACTCCAACATGCTGTTCATCGGAGGCCTCTTGGTGGCCATCGCAGTGGAGAACTGGAACCTTCATAAACGCATCGCCCTCCGAGTTTTGCTGCTGGTTGGTGTTCGTCCAGCTCTGTAAGAAAGTCGTGATGTGGCTAAGCTGTGTACTTCTGCAGAGTCAATCCCTTCAAATTATGCTCTCTTTCTTTATAATTTGGTGCTTTTCATGACATAAAACTGACACTTTAAATACAAAAACAACACAGAAACAAAAAAAAAGTGCTACTCGATATTGTAAAATCAAATGTGTGCTGCAAATTTTAGCCTTAAGCATAAACTTTCATCCTTGATTTTTTTTTTTTTTTTTTGTGGCATAGCCACGGCTGCAGTGTTGGCATCAGTTTCCTCAGAAATGTAATCACATTCACAAGTTATACAGTATATGTACTTTGTTTATGCTAAACTACAAAGTACCTTTCAACAACTTTAAACCATAAATCTTTTACCACTGTGAAACACATTGTACAGTTTTATGTGAAACTACAGGTTTACAGTACTGGCAGCTGTGCATGCTTAAAGTTCACCATAAAATCTACAATGATGCAACAGTTTTGTTGAGAACCCTGCGTTACAAACAAAACAAGAAGGTAACTCTTGGTGACTCATTTTTATGGGTCTTTGGGGAAAAGTTGGATTTTTATGTCCATGCCTCACATGCTGGTCCATCATTAAATGGCTGAGCATTTTGAACATCTTTTCTCAAACCTACCCAAGTACTCTATTCCTGCACAAAACTAAGAAGCACCAAATACTTTTGGTTCCTAAGGATAATCTGGAAAAGATGATGCCTAAAGCTGTCAAAAATCCAGAATTGAAGTCAAAATCTTACTTCTAACCTACAAAACTCTCAACAACCTAGCTCCATCTTATATTACAGATCTTATTGTCCCATATTTTACTAACAGAGCACTTTGCTCTCAGACTGCAGGCTTACTTGCGGTTCCTAGAGTTTCCAAGAGCAGAATGGGAGGAAGATCTTTCAGTTATCAGGCTCCTCTCTTGTGGAATCAACTTCCAGTTTCTATCCGTGAGGCTGACACATTGTCCAGTTTTAAGACTGGGATTAAGACTTTCCTTTTTGATAAATCCTATAGTTAGGGTTGGCTTGTTATGCTGTCTTAAGCTTAGACTACTGGAGGACAAACTGACCACATTTCTTAAAATTAATTGATGAAATTGAATAGTTTTCATTGGATACTATGTCTATCTTAACGTGATTCTTGACCTGCCATTGTGTATCTGTTCCTCTCAAACCCAGCTGGTCAAAGCAGATGGGCACTTGTCCTAAGTCTGGTTCTGCCAAAGGTTTCTTCCCAAATGAGGGAGTTTTTCCTTTCCACTGTTGCCTTCATGCTTGCTCAAGATGAGAGTCTGCAATGGACTCAAAGTAGTCTGCTCCTCAGATAAATAACGTTATTAACTTACTTTTTATGTATATGAATGTTTCTGGTCAGTGTCCTGAGACGACTTCTGTTGTGACTTGGCACTATATAAATAAACTGAATTGAAATTGAATTAAAGCTAACCACATATTTTGATTCCTAAGTCTAACTGTACTGCATAACCCACAAAAATATATAGATGGAACTGAAAAAAAAGGGATATTTAACATGAGTAACTACAGTAATGTATTAAAACAAACAAAAAAAACTACAAATTTCCTCCTAAATGCGTTGCATCACAGCTCATGAATATCTTTACTCCTCTCTCTTTCAGCTTAATGATGGGGTTCATGATTGTGTCGTCCTTCCTGTCCATGTGGATCAGCAATACAGCCACCACGGCCATGATGCTGCCCATCGCTAACGCTGTGCTCCAGCAGCTGCAAGCAACAGAGGCTCGAGCAGAGGAGCGAGATTTCCAGATTGCTGCTCAAGAAAACCTTGCGTTTGAGCTGGAGATTATAGATACCAAGGACGAAATGGAAGATGAGAAAAAGCCTCCAAAGGAGAATGGTGTCGGTAGGTGAAATGTCGACTGCGGGGATGAATTCACAGAAAATACCACCAATATTAACTTCCTCATATCAATATTCAGCTGAGCCGATGCAAAACTCAGAGTCCATGGCAGACTCCAGAAGAAAGGCTATGGAGGCAAAGTATGAGCTCCTGACTAAAGGGATGAGTCTGAGCGTGTGTTACTCTGCCAGCATCGGAGGCACGGCCACACTAACCGGCACGACCCCCAACCTCATCCTCAAGGGTCAAATGGACAAGTGAGGCGCTGATCAAAACAAAGTTAAAAACTGTTTATATGTTTCTGCTCTTCTCGTCACTCAAAATCCTCTTTTCTAAAGGCTATTCCCTGGAAACGGAGATGTGATCAACTTTGCCAGCTGGTTCGGTTTTGCTTTCCCCAACATGGTGCTCATGCTGGTGATCTCCTGGCTCTGGCTGCAGTGTATCTTTCTGGGCTTCAAGTAAGACAACCGACTTTTCACTCTCTGATTTAGGTGTATCTGATAACTGAATGTTGACTTTTTACGTTTCAGTAATCAGCATCCCATGTACACTTTTGGGATCCCACAGGGCTTGATTCTTGGACCCCTTTTATTTTCACTCTATCTGCTGCCTTTGGGATATATCCCGAGGAAACATGGCCTTTCATTTAATTGTTATGCTGATGATTGTCAGATTTATCTGCCCTTGAAACCCAACAGTTCCTGCTCCATTCACCTTCTGTTAAAATGTTTTGAGGCATGGATGACTTCACATTTTTTTAAGTTTTAATGATCAGAAAACTGAAGTCATTGTGTTTAGACCTAGGTCTACCGCTGTCTCTGAACTTGTAAATCTTGACTCTCTTCAGCCTGAAGCAGTCTGTTACAAATCTCGGGATGGTTTTAGACTCTGACTTTTAAGTTTAATCAACAGTTAAATTATGTTCTACAAAAAAAAAAAACTTATTCCAGTTAAGTTGCTTTATAAATACATTTGACTTTTAAAAGCAGTTTTTCCTTATTCATGTACTTAATTTTAGATTGCTGCAGTTTTACTATACCAATAATTTTTTCCTCTGTATGATAAAATCTTGAACTTTGTTGTTCATTATCTACAGTATTCAATTCAATTCAATTCAGTTTATTTATATAGCACCAAGTCACAACAGAAGTCATCTCAGGTCACTGAACAGTATCTGAACTAAGCATGCCTTTTCTAATCCGTTCACCTTTTAACATTTTACTGCAGTATTGTCTTTATCAATTGTTTATTTTCCACATTTTGTCAATCAGCTGTAATGTACTTTGAATTGCATTTGAACAACCTAAACTGTGCTGAATATTTTATGAATAGTTGAATATAATTCAGCATCTGTTTATCTCAGTGTTTAACTCTTCTGCACAATTTTTTGTTCTGATCTGGAACATCTGGGCACATTTTGTTTTATTTTTTCAGTCTGAAAAGGTCATTCAGCTGTGGCATGAAAAGTGACAGAGATATAGAGGCTTATGATGTGATGCGAGGCGAATACAAGAAGCTGGGCAGTATGAAGTTTGCTGAAGGAGCCGTGCTCACCATCTTTGTCCTGCTCGTGCTCCTCTGGTTCACCAGGGAGCCGGGCTTCATTCCTGGCTGGGCCACGGTGCTCTTCAATCAGGATGGGGCGTAAGTCTTTTCATTTCCCTCTCTTTTTGCTCATGACTGTAAAAAATGTAGTCATTATCTTACCTGCACTGGACAGTGGTCAGAGTGATCTCAGCTTGGAGAATTAGTGAGGAGTTTTGATAGAAGAGTCCAGCTATTCAATCAAGTTTCATTCAAAAGCGTATCTAGATTTTCTTGCAGTTCAAACAAATGTCCTATAAAATATTTTAGATACTGGGTTTCACTTTTGCATCACTACAAAACTCCAAAAAATTCTATTACATTTTTTCATTCTTAAAGAAGAGTTTCTGCTCAGATAAAAACGATGCCATGCAAGTAAGTGGCAATCACATTGACAGCGCATCAGAGCTAGGAGCATGGTCAAAGATTCTCTCAAAATAATTTTAGCTTTTTATTCTCTGACTGCTTTGACATCTCAGTCCTTACAGCACGTATTTAACATTTTATAACACCATAGTCAAGACAAAGTCACCCAGATGTTGGGAAAAAGAAGAAAAACTAGTTGTGGCTATTTGTGAATGAAGCACTGCACCATTTTGGTTTCTCACAATCTTTGCTTGTCAAGTCTTGATGTAGTTTTTTTTTTTTTTTCTCACAAATGCTGTTAATATATAAAACATACTTGTATAAAATAAGCTGGCCAAGGTTTATGCTTTTGGAATAGTTCTGATTATACAGACTGCATATATTTTTGGCTTTCAGAATTATAAAATAGTACCAAAGTTCATGCTCAATAATCCAGGTATAAAATACAACAATGTTCAGTCAGGTCACCTGGTAGGTTTATTTTATTTATTTATTTTTTTGTGCTGAGACGTTTCGTCCTTCATCCAAAGGACTTCTTCAATCCGAGAAGCCACCAAACAAATCCGATTCCCACAAACAGCATACTCCATAGTGAAAAAAAAAAAAACAGTTTGCTGGTGCCAAGATGGCCTCCGGGGCCCACCCTCTCCTCCGGGGCCCACCCTCTCCCTTGTCAACTTCTCTGAGACAGTCATGCCAAAGTGGTTCAAAACACTAAAGTTCATGCTCAATAATCCAAGAAGCCTTCCAGATGACCTGACTGAACATTGTTGGATTTTATACATGAATTATTGAGCATGAACTTTGGTGTTTTGAACCAGTTTGGTGTGACTGTCTCAGAGGAGTGGACGAGGGAGAGGGCAGGCCCTAGAGGCCATCTTAGCACCAGCAAACTGTTCTTTTCCACTATGGAGTATGCTGTTTGTGGGAATCAGTTTTGTTTGGATGCTTCTTGGATTGAAGAAGTCCTTTGGATGAAGGACGAAACGTCTCCACGAAAAAGAAAGAAAAAAACAAACAAACATCCAAATGACCTGACCGAACATTGCTGGAATAAAATAGTAGCTCTTTTTTGTTTTTTCATCTTTTTTTACTTCAAACTTAAACATTAACACTCTTGATCAGCTATTTATCACAAATGTTGTAGATGTTAGTTTTTGTCAGAGTTGTTGTTTTTTTACGAGGACAGGACAAAGAAGAATGTGTAGTACCATCATTGAGTAACGTTGTGTTGTTTCTCTCAGATTTGTTTCAGATGGAACTGTCGCCATCTTCATGTCCATGCTCTTCTTCGTCATTCCCTCTCGGCTGCCCACATGTGGCAGCTACGGCTACAACGAGGCAGGTCAGATGTTTTAGTTGACCTGGTTCTGATTCTTGGTCACAAGCAGGTATGACACAATGTCCCAGTGCATTTATTGTTTTCTGTCTTACCTGGGTCTCACAGGTAAGATGGTGAAGGCTCCTCCCACTCTGCTGAGCTGGAAGGTCGTTCACGAGCGAATGCCCTGGAACATCATCCTGCTGCTGGGAGGAGGCTTCGCTCTGGCTGCCGGCAGCGAGGTAAACATCACCTGTTTTCACGGGATTTTACGCGCACATTTATTTACAGCTGTAAAAACATGTAAATCATCAGTTGCCAAAACTAAAGTTCATACTCAGAGAAAACTGAGATTTTAGACGATGATCTGTGTTTTTGAATATATTATACTGGGCTTAGTTATGAATGACTAATGGCATCATTAATAACTTGATTTATATTTGATTTTTGAAATGTCAATACCTCACCTTTATCTTGAATAACAGACATAAAAGTTCAGATCTCAGGAAGAAAAACAATTAAAGTTGTGATTATAGATGCCAATTTTGATTGGTTCTCAGTTTTCTCACAGTTTTTGTGTCAAATTTAAGAAATAAATCATGCCGGCAGGCCACACAATCTTAATAGACAAATCTCCAGATAAACTGTTATTCAGTTTCTTCAAAACTGATATTAAGATTATTTACCGAAGGACAAATTAAGATACAATATCAAGGGGATCAATGGGTTATGAAAATATATTTATCTGGAGAATTTCGGGGTTTAAAAGCAAAAATTTTACTTTTACTTTTGACCTGCAAATTATAAGTCATGGAGGCTCACAACTCAAACTTTTGCTGGGTAAAGTAAACAAATTATTCATTTAAAAGAGCCTCATTAAATAATTTCTTTTTTTTAAATCTATCCATAATAATTCTTAAAGATTTTACTACAGTTAAGGCTAAATATGCAACTGGTAACCGTGTTTTTAGATTTCCATAGATCTTCTCACAGTCCCAGTTTGTTGTTTGAAGACCCAGTTATGGTTTGCAGGTGTCAGGTTTGTCCAAATGGCTGGGAGCTAGTTTGGCACCTCTGCAGAAAATCCCCCCCTTTGCCATCTCGATCCTGCTCTCCCTGCTTGTTGCAACATTCACCGAGTGCTCCAGCAACACCGCCACCACCACTCTGTTCCTGCCCATACTGGCCTCAATGGTAAATAAACCCCGTCTTTAACAAAAGCAAACCTCCATCGTGGGTATCTGCATGTAGTAAATGTTTTGTGTCTTAAGGCCACGGCTATCCAGATACACCCTCTTTACGTGATGCTGCCCTGCACAATCGCTTCCTCTCTGGCCTTCATGCTGCCCGTGGCCACGCCCCCAAACGCCATCGCCTTCTCATTCGGAAATCTCAAAGTCATAGACATGGTGAGGTTCAAACAATCTTGATTTTAATTTAAATCGAGTCAGAAGTTGGAGACTTGGTTGTGAAATGTTTCAAGTCTTGGATTTGGGGGAGAATATATCAGTTGAATGCTTGTAAAGATTTTTAAATTATTTATCTGCTGTATCCTAACATTATGTGACCATCTGCTCCTTCAGGTGAGAGCCGGCTTCATGCTGAACCTCATTGGGATCCTGTGCATTAATTTAGGCATCAACACCTGGGGGTACGCCATGTTCGACATGGGCACCTTCCCTCAGTGGGCCAACAACACACACAGCCTTCCTTAGAGTTGACAGATAAACAGAAGGAACGACCAAAACGGTGTTAAAGCTTCTGAAATTATGTTTTATAAAAGTTTAATTTATTCAGCCAAGTAAAGTCTAATCTGCTTTAAGTTTCCCAGAAAATATTTTGGTCTCAAAGACCTCCTCCATCACGTAAACCGATGATGTTCACGGCCTTTTAACAAGAACGTGACTTCAGTTTTAGAAAATGAAGCATAAAAAGATAAAAGAATCAGTAACCATATTCCAAAAGAGCTGCTGTTTATAGACTGACAGTTGCAATGAAGATAGTCCTTGAAGTCTGCTGATCTTTTATTACTATTAAACTTCTAGTGTTCAGTACTTCCTCGTACCAGGAACCGAACAAACGAGAAAAAAATGGAGGTCATTTCCTCAAGGACACTCTCCTGCAAATGTTATCATTTTATTAATCTGTTTATCATTTACAGATACAGGTTGGATCGATTCTTTAAAGCAGAGCTGTTTGTCAGGTTGTTGCTGTTTTACATGCACAATGGAAACAAAAGAGAGAGAATTAACTGTATCAGTTAATTTAACTTATTACTGAAAGCCTTATTAATTGTAAGTCTTTCTCTTTTTGGTGGAGTATTTTATTTGTATCAGTATTTTTTCTTTTTTTTTTTTTTGTCAAACCGAGCACGCATCAACTTTTCTTTGTGCAAACACCAAAGTTGGAGACTTACGGTGATTATTTATTTGCTGTTCTTGTGGTTTTTTTAGTCCATTATTGAAAAATATATATTTTTCCTGCCAAGTTTTTTTAAATAGATGATCCCTTTTTTCATTCGGCATAAATGGTGTTTTGATGTTAGGAAAAAACTGAAAACTGTCCATTCAGATATAAAACTTTGTTAGTCGGCCTTTACATCTGCTCACAGAGGAACCTCATGTCCTATTACAAGATGCAAATCTTCTCAAGAGTCTATTTGTGAACAAAAGTCCACCTGAACCCGTTTTATTACTTTATACAAAATCAGATAAGAGGAAGTATCTCAAGCTGAAATTTATTTAGACAAAAGTTGTCCATGTATGAGCTTAAAAACTAACAGCCTCTACAGTGATAGGAGTTCTGAAAGTGGGAGTCTGTGGAAAATTTGTGAGTACTGTAATTTCTGGACTATTGCACGCAGCTGAATATAAGCCACACCCACAAAATTTAAAAAGGTTGGAAAAAATTGTACATATATACCTATAGGCCACATGTGTATAAGCCATGGGTATCCACGTTGTAACACGAGATATTTACACAGAAAGATTTTTTTAAAAACCTTTTAATTAAATATATACTGTAACATACGTACAGTAAATGTTTTTATTCTGAACAGTGCCTGTAACACGGCTGGTAAAATAAAAAATACAGTAGCCTACTAGGAAGTCATTGATCACTGTCTTCATCTTCCTCCTGCACACTTCGCCCATGAGCTTGTTCTGTCCTCTTCATCTCATCCCCCCCCCCCTTCCCCTCCGCCTCCCTGGGGTCCCTGAGGGCACAACATGGAGGGAAGGAAACACCATCCTCAGTGGATCAATGAAACAGTTTCATTGATCTGCTGTGATCTGTTCGGTAGTTTCACTGGTCAGATTTATTTATTCATTTTTTAACTTTTATTTACACAGGTAGTCACATTGAGTCACGAGTATCCCCACCCCAGAGAGATGTGAATTGGGCAGCTATGTGAGCACCTGGGTGTGACGAGGCTAAATGTTTTGGTGGCATGAAGCTCGTTAGCCTGTCAAAAAAAAAAAATCCATTAATTAGCCGAAGCGTTGTATAAGCTGCAGTGTTCAAAGCTTGTGAAAAAGTAGTGACTTATAGTCCGGACATTACGGTAATTAAAGTCTTACCTGCTGTAGATAGCTTTTTGAACAACATCTGTTCAGTGAAATAGAGTTTAATTCTGACAGGATAACAAGCTAAGAGCTACTCTGAGCGGGATCAGGAGCAAAAGAGATTATTGCTTTTTTAAACTCAAATACAAACACATTCATCCATCCATCATCTTTACCCACTTCTTCCTTTTCGGGTCACAGGGGTCACTGGTGCCCATGTCCAGCCATCACTGTGCTAGAGGCGTGGTACACCCTGGACAGGTCGCCAGTCCATCACAGTAAACAAATTCACGTGAATGCTATTGTACAAAGTATATAATGTTAAACCTGAGTCAGTTTTTCATTTCATGGTTATTTATATAAAATTTGTGGCTTTTTGGATTGTACAGTTGTAGCATCAGCAGTGCACCCTGTCACATTTCCTGCAGGAATATATTTTAGCTGGAACAATCATGTACAATGGCCCCTCGTTATAACACAGTTCACTTATTCACTCGTTTTTTTATATGTATATTATGTGTACTGTTCATTCAGCTCATCATTACCATCATCACCAATGTATTTAAGAGCATATGAAGTGTTAATAAGAGAATGAGAAAGGTTTGTAGGAGTGTGAGAAGGGTTTATAAAGCCTAATATACATATAAATAATAAAATCAATATAAAGCCACAACTTTGCGGATTTTCACCTAAAGTGGGGGTCTCTGGAATGCAACCCCATGATAGGTGAGGGATCCCTGTAGTACCACATTTACAATGATGTTTTATTAAATAGTGTTTGTGCAACAACCTACTTTGGTCTTGGCTTCAGTAGAACCGCTCATTAGCTCATCTGAAACCTATCTACAGCAGATAAGACAATAAGCACAAACCTCCACTTCTAAACATCAGCACTTGTTCCTCTTCACAACTTTTGAACATCATACTAACCAGACTCCCAGAAACAGCCTTCTTGTCGACCGCTACAGGCCTCAAGCCGAACCGATTTAAATCCCGTACACTGAAATTAAATTGCAGCGTTTACTCTCATTTCATCAGGACTTTTGACAAACATATGTAATTTATTTGACGGTAGTGCACCTGCTACCAATATCATGATGCTAAAAGTTGACTGTCAGCATAGAGGAAGGCGAAACACCAATATCTGTGGGATGTTAATAACTGAGCGTACAGCGTGTTCAGATGAAAAGCTGGTTGAAGGCTAACTGTGAGATAAGAGGCTGCCAACAGGATATGAAGGCAGCAAAAGCCGGTTTCTGTCATGTTTATTAGGAGAGAGAGAGTCATAAACTGAAAACGCTGAGGACAAAGGCAGAACATGCATGGAGAGTTGTACATTTCTTCATCATTAAATGTCATATATGAGCCATGTGTGTTCTGATAATAAAACGCCATCATGTAAACCGTGTCCGCTTCATTCATTCATGAAAGACGCTGCGATGCTCCCCCCAAACAATCCAATAAACCTTTATTTATTTTTTATTTTTCAGTCGCACCAACATCAGAAAACTTTACGAGATCAAAATATTCTGCATGATTCACACAGTCTTTTACAAATCCTTTCTATAAACATTTGTGTAACTTTTTACCAGAAAACATTCAAGTCGATCAGTTCGAGTCCAGCCAGAGTTCCTTTCGTCGGCTGTGCAACTGGAACCACGTTCAACTAAATAAAAAAATATGACTGTGCCAATAAAATCTGAATCTCATGAAAGCATCAATTTAATCACTGTCTGAACACATAAAAAGTGGATTCAAGTCATTTCACTCCCAAAGTGGCTCAAATGGCATTTAGATATGATTTACAATGATGGAAATATGCATCAAATCAATAAGTGTGTGAAGATACGGCTCTTAAATATGTAAATTAATGTTCAGATAGTCTTGATTCAGGCTGTGTCTCAGTAAAGTGTGCTTATTTATCAGTTTCGAGCAGAACCGAGACAAAAACTGCTTCCAACAACGGATGAGAGGATGACCACAAAAACAAATGGATGATTTAAAGGTCATTTGTGCTACATCTTCCAACGCCCTTCAGTCTTAAAACACAGATCTGACTGGAGAAACAAACGTTCCCTTCTCCTATGGTGGGAAGAGATCACTTGGAACAAACTTTGACTGGAAAAGGAGAAACTTTCAGAGTCCCTTCAAAGCAGCAATTCAGATTTTATTTTTTTTTTAAACTGAGCTTTATGGAAAGTTTATAAGGAGTTAATATGTCACCTGAAGGAAAAAGCTCTTTGAGCGACTTCAGTTTGGAGAAATTAAAGTTAATTCTGACCAATGTGATGAGCTGAAACCAGAGTGGAAACACATTTAGTCCAAGCTCCACAGTTGCTAATGTTTATGTAAACAGTATACCTTAACATATTTTTCAGACTATAAGGTGCACTTAAAACCCTTTAATTTTCTCAAAAATCGACAGTGCACCTTATGTATTAACTCTGGTTGTGCTTACTGACCTCGAACTGATTTTGTGTGGTTATTGTGAATGAGTTGAATAAAGTTTGACTTATCTGACTGTTTTGTTTCGCTTAATGCGCCTTAGTCTGAAAAATACTGTACACAATTATTACCACTTTCCACTAAGAAAAGTGAATGATCATATAATTGCCTGTGTGGGTGTGTTTGTCTGTTGGCAAAATATCTCATTAACTACTGAACAGATTTTAACAAAACGCTCTCAAAGCAATCGCTGGATGTACATCTAAAACTGCTCAGCTTTAGGAGTCGACTCGATTCAAAATGGCCGCCACAGCTAACTGACTTTAGCAAACACAGAACTGGCTATAAAACAGTTAATTTCACTGTTTTTATGCTAACGTTTGGTGTGGTAGTAGCTGAGACTGATCCGCAGCACATACTTTAATCGACTGAGAAATTTTGCTTTTGAAACTTTACTAACTTTTGGAGTCAACTTTATTTGTGTGTTAGCAAAATAACACAGGATGGATTTCAATGAAACCGTCAGAAAACAGTTAAGGTGCTTTCATCTGCTGACTACACTTTGGAGTCAACTCAGTTCAGTATGACCGCCACAGCCAAGTGATCGTAGGAAGCACAAAAGTGACTACATCTGAGTCATTTTCACCAATCCTAAGCTAAAGCTAGGTGTGGTAGTAGCTGAGCATCCTCTCCTAAGACTTAACAGATCATAAAGAAAGTGTTTAAATTAAACCTTGGTATGCAGGTGATATGCATTCAAGGAATGCTATTTTATTATTTCTGTACAATTCTGCCATTATTTGCAGCAGCAGGTAGCTGTAGCACTTCCAGTGCAGGTTAGAGCACACCCCACAGGAACGTTATGATATGTCTGCTGGCATAACCATATACCATATTTTTCGGACTATAAGGCGCACCTAAAACCCTTTAATTTTTTCAAAAATCGACAGTGAGCCTTATATTCTGGTGCGCCTGATGTATTAATTCTGGTTGTGCTTATGAATTGATTTTATGTGGTGCACGGCACTCAAAAATCTGTCAAAATGAACTTGTTTTGCACAATGTGCCTTATAATCCAGTGTGCCTTATAGTCCAAAAAATACGGTAAAAGTGATTGTGGTAAAGTTTATAAAACAGCGTTTTCATGAACCACTTCTTTAAAACATGTGAGACTGGAGTCGTTTAAGGACCACAGTGGTCCACTTTGGTTCTGGTTCTGCTTGGATTAGCTGTTAGCTCACCAGTCAGTCAGAACTGAAGTCATACAAAGACCTATCCAAGGCAGGTAAGATACTAACTGTTCGTAACATTTCAACAAAATTCCACTTTCGAAGAGCTGAACTAACCCTTTATCAAAACAACAAGAGGATGCAAAAGTAAGGTCATCCTGGACCAGTTCACCTTTATACTTTTTAAAGTTATTATTATTATTGTAAAAAATCTTGTGCTTTGAGAAAACGCAGTAAACACATACTGTGTGCGCTGCTGCTCGCACAGGCCACACAGCTCAACAAACAAACCAGGAACAAAGGAAAAGGGAAGGAAATGATGCATTTACAGTAAGTTACGGTCTACTGAGACAATTTGCTACAGCAGGTTTTAGAAATCTACTTGACCTATTTAAAACCTGATGATAACATCACTGACATTTAAATGATTTTCTTTTTTTTTTTTAACCGAAATCAGTAACCATGCTGACAGACCATCGTACAAAAAGACAAGAAACGCACAGATCAAAAGCACTCGTCGAATCAGAGGAATTATTTTACCAAAAAACGTTAAAGTCCTAAAAACACATTTTTTTTAAAGATGCAAGACTTGTTCCTCTAACAACATACAGGAGAATGAAAAAAATACCAATTTCTTTCCTTGTAAGAAGAGCTTTGTTAAAAAGTTGTTCACCTGCTGGTTTGTCCTGTTACGAAAGCAGTGTGTGCGTGTGTGTGTCCACAGCTTATTTTTTAAAATCATACCTCTACACACACACATTATAACAGCTGACCCGCTCTCAGCAGGAGAACGACAGCAAGAGAAGCAGAAGACAGACAGGATGTTGACCCCTGCACGTTTCTTCCATTATCCCTCAGATAAGTCCAAAAGTCCTCCTGTCTCTCACGTGGGTGTGTAGTTTCTACGTCCCACCGTTGTACGAGTAGTCCGCCTTGTTGTGCATCACCAGCTTATCATCCACAAAGTAGAAGCTGTCGGACTGCGTCTCGTACGGGTGGAGGACCATCTCTCTGACTGTGAGCAGACACACAAACATCACATTAGAGCGCCGGTTCTTGCATAGGAACAACAATTAGGCGTAGATCAGATGGAAACTGATATCTGTTCTGAAAATAATGTTTCTTTGCAAACTCCGTAAGTATACAAAGATTAAAACGTTTTTAAAAAGTGACTAAAAACAGGAGATAAATTCTGCTAATAACCTGAAGCTACAGCTTAGATCTTTTCAAGTGAGGAGATAGGACAATTAATATCTTACCTGCTGTAGATAACGCTTGGAACAACCTCAGTTTGGAGGGTTAGTGAGCTAACGGCTTGTCTGAAGGTGGCCAAGACCAAAAAGAATGGCTGCTATTTTAAAACAACTCCAGTCTGAAAAATCTCATAGCAGCTAATGCAAACGTTATTCTATAAACTTTTACATCATTGTCCTATTTTTTGTGTATAAATAATATTTTATCAAATAAACACCTTCAGGTGGAACTGATAAATTTAGTGTCCAATAAAATAATGTTTGTGGCATTAGGATTGCCTTGTATTTTTAATAGAGCAAATACTAATTTATGTAGGCGCCTTTCTTCTAAAGTAATTTATGTAAAAAATAATAAAGTTGGTGTAAATGGTGACAACAGGGCAACTGGTAAGAATATGATATTTTTCCCCACTAAAATAATTGGATAACATTAAATTTCAAGTTAAGGAAAGTGTCTTGAACAGCATTTTGCTGAACTACAAAAATTGTGAGCCTAAAGTTATGATTAGCTGTTAGCTTATCAATCCGATCAGAATTAAACTTTATTTCTCCAAACTGAAGTTGCTCAATAACTATCTGCAACAGCTAAGATATTATTTATTCAGAATACCAATTTAAAATGTCTTCTTAACATTAAAGTGGTTTTTGTAGCGATGGATAATGGCAGGAGATGCAGCTCCTATCTTAAGTAGCCAAACCCCATTTCATTTGATTCATAATAATGTAAGAAATACTTAGAAATTAATATTTAAATTTGAATCGTACCAAGACATCAGTTAAAATGGTTAAACTATTTGTGTGAACGCTTGTGAAGCATTCACACTATTGTGATCCATTTTTCTTCTGTACATTTTTCAGCATCTTTCTCGTTGTGAAATTTTTGTGCTATTTCAACAAATCGTATCAAAATGCTCAGATCGTTCAGAAGCAGGGTGCTATGACTATTGGTAATGGTGCAACTTTAGCTTATTAAAATATTTAGCCTTTTCTGCCACTTTTTTTCCTCATTGAAAATGAATTGAGCTCATTTTACATCCTTCAGATCTTTTGATCTGTTACAACCTTTTACTGCTGCTTTCACATTTTGTTCTGGCTCAGGTTCCTTCCTTGTGTAAATTTAAACTTTTTGTCAACTACTTTTAGTTAATTTCAGCTGTTTGTGCTCCTTTTGGATTCTTTATACTAACTACAACATTTGTGTTTCTTCTCATTTATTTCTGCTAAATTCAGCTTGTTATGCTTCTTTCTGATTATTTATGCAAGTTTCAGCTTTTTCTGCTATTTCAGCTATTAGCAGTTTTTATGCGTTTGAGCTTTTTTTTTTAGCTAATTCCATATTTTTTAAACTCATTTAAACTTTTTCCCGCCTAATTCAGCAAAAAATGTGCTCTCTCAACTTCCTTCTGTTAATTTCAGCTTCTTTCAGGTTTTTAGCTATTCTTCAGGTATTTTTGCTAATTTAAGCTATTTCAAATAATTTCTAATTTTTTGTGTTCATTTCTGCTTCTTTCAGCCTAATTGGGCAAACACGTGTTCTTCATATTTTCGTCTGCTAATTGAAGCTTGTTCTACTTTTCCAGCTAGCTTGTTAGCATTTTTTAGCTAATTTCAGCTGTTTTCAGATAAATTCAAGTTTTTGTAGTGTTTTCTGCTACTTTCAGCCTAATTAACTACTTTCTGCTAATTTCAGCTTGCTATGCTCCTTTCTGCTTAGATATGCTAGATTCAGTTATTTTAGCTACTATTTAACTGTTTTATGCTAATTTTTGCTTTTTCAGCTAATTTCACAGGTTTTGCACTCATTTAAGCTTTTTTTCAGCCTAATTCAGCAAAAATGTGCTTTCTCTACTTACTTCTGCTAATTTAATATTATTTCAAAACTTTTGGCTATTTTTCAACTTTTTTTCCTCGTAATTTCAGCTTTTTTCAGAAAATTTCCACTTTTTTGGGCTCATTTCTGTTTTTTCAGCCTAATTGGCACAATTGTGCTCTCTCCTTTTCCTTCTGGTAACTTAAGCTTCTTTCTCCATTTTCAGCTACCTTTAAGTTTTTTTAATTTTTTTTTAGCTAATTTCAGCTTTTAGAGCTAATTTACTAATTTTGTGCTAATTTCTGCTTATTTAAGCCAAATTCAGCAAATATGTGTTCTTTCTGCTTTCTTCTGCTAACTTAGGCTTGTTCTTCCTTTTCAGCTACATTTCAGTATGTTTTTAGCTAATTTCAGCTGTTTTTTTTAGCAAGTTCTTCTGCAATAAGCATTCACATTGCATTTTTGCAGGGAATGCAATTTCTCTAGTTAATTCAGTTGTTTGTCAAACAGCAAGTTAATCCTGGATTTAATGTCAAAAACATGTTTAACTAAAGTTCATAATGTGTGAGAAATTTATAACAAATATGAAAATGTATCTGTTTTTTCCTTACTGGATGAAGAAAACAAACAAAAAGAGCTGCTGGCATTTCTAAGACTAAATCATCCCAGTTATTTAAAAGCAGTTCAGGTTTTGTCTGTCAGTGCAGAGTATCAGCAACATCATCTGATTTCAAACACAAATATAACAAACACACAAGTGTCTCTTCAGTTTTTCACTCCATCCCTGATCATAAAGTTAGGAAGTTGTTTTTATTGAGATTTGTTGCGGTTGAAGACTCACTCATGTCCTCGGACAGAGGTGGGAATTCGTAGATGTGTTCACAGGTGTTCTTGCTGCTCGGCATACAGAAGCCGAACTCAAAGTCGAAACTTTTCAGCAACCTTTCTCTGAAATAATGTCTCTCAATCATCCTGAAGTTTTCTATCGGCCTATCTCCGACTGTGAACTCAACTCTGGAATGACAGTAGCAGAACAGGAAGAGCGCGTGAGGCGGATGTTTTCCAGACTTTTAGTTCATTCAGGTAATGAATCCAGATCTGGGTGCGTTCTCACTCACGTGGCTCCAACTTGCCGCAGTCGGAGGAAAGCGGGAGTGAACTGGTAACGGACGAAGCGTCCGGCGTTTGGGTCAACGTCTCGCTTCTCTCCTGCTTTATCTGAAGAGGAAACCAGATTGAAGCAACAACACATCAAATAATTTTACACATTCACTTTAATCACCATATTTTTCGGACTATAAGGTGCACTGGATTATAAGGTGCATTAAGCAAAACAATTTAAATTTGACAGATTTTTTTTGAGCGCCACGTACCACATAATTAAAACGCATCAGATTATAAGGCTCACTGTGGATTTTTGAGATCATTAAAATATTTTAAGTGCACCTTATAGTCTAAAAAAGTACGGTAGTACTCGACTAAAAGCAAACATGATCAAACAAGGGGAGCTGCGGCTGAGTGGTTAGAGCAGTCGTCCTCTAATGGGAGTGTTGGGGGTTTGATTCCACCAGCAGTCACATGTTGAAGTGTCTCTGTGCAAGACACTGAACCCCTCATTGCCTCCGATACGTGTCCCATCAATGTATGAATGTGAAAAAGCACTGATTAGTCTTTTTAGAATGATTTGTTCAGAGTAGTTTTGTACAGATATAGTAGAGTGCTGTATGAATGTGTATGTGGAGGTAAATGAGCACAGATTGTAGTGTAAAGAGCTTTGGGTATCTTGATTAGATGGAAAGGCACTATATAAGTACAGTTCACCATTTATCAAAAACTGAGTGGATCACAATCTGCTTGGCTTAAACCGAGCTAAACTGGACTGATGCTGTCGTCCAACAAGTTCAGTCTCAAAAACTTCATAGTGTGCAAACTGCTTTAAAAGCCTTGCAGTTCATTTCATTATGTACATAAAGTTTTATAGTTATTTGCAAGTAAATAGCAGCTGTTTTACTACAGATGCTGTCAAATCACTTTAGACTGTTTTTTTCTGAAACTGTCAGTGGGGTATACGTTCAAAAATTAGTGTTTGCACAATCTGCTGTGAAATTTTTGAGAAAGTTTTAAAGATATAAGTCAACCTGCGCTTAAATGTAAAAAAAAAAAGGGAAAGTGTAATAATGAACTTCTCATTTGTTTTGAGATTTTCTTCATGGTCTGCGTTTCTGTCATTATGAGTTACAGTAGTCCCTCGCTACGACTTTCGAGGCTTGCTCTTTTGCGGTTTTTCAAAGTAAGAGTGGACATGACACACAACTGGCTGACTGATGGATGAGCCGCAAGATCGGCATGGATTTTTAAATTTTTTTTCAAATAAATTATTTAAAATTATTTAGCACCTGCTGCACCTGTGTCCTGTGTGCAGCCCACATGTGCAAGGAGAAGCTCCTTCCTGTACTGTAGCATGTCATGATCTCAGCGCTGCAGCGGAGAAGTGGGCGTGGCCGAGAGCGCTGGCAGAGAGGGCAGAGAATAGATCATGACATTTTGTGCTCTTTTAGAGTGTTTAAAAATTTTGTTTGGAATATTACAAGAGTGTGGGAAGGGTTTAAAACACCTATAT